AGAATTGCCTGATTAAATGGCTCTTAGTACCCTGTGGACCTTTGTAGTCTGGGCTTAGGGGTTATTTCTTTTACCTTTTGTTCTTTTTCAGTCTCAACTCTGACTTCAGACCATAAGTTTCTTCTTCCTCACTTTGGGACTTTAGTGCAGGCTGAGAGACATTGCTCACCTCTCCAAATCCTGGAACCTAAAGAAGTAGAGAGTTTACATGTACATGATTTCTCTGTGGTCACAAAAGAAGACACAGTGCTCAGAGAAGTTAAAATCTACCACTGATCCTGAAATATTTCTTTTGATATTGCTTTAATTATTACCTTGTCCAATTTCCTGGAGCTACTCTGGAGCCTGGAACTACTTTTGTTTGCATAATCACCCTTGTTTCATCACACCTCCACCCATTCCACTAGTGAAATAGACAGCTCACTACAAAAAGAGGCCAACTGGGACTGAAAGTCTAGTCTGTGCCTGCCTAATTCCCTTCAGTCCTGGTGTCCTTAAGCCTCTGCAACTTGGCTTTTGGTACAAGCAAAGGCCAGTTGGTACTCTACTGGTTCTGTTTCTAGTCTACCTTACCTCCACCACCCCTAACCTAGCATTTCTGTTCCATCTTATCTTCAGCATCTTCAGTGTGTCACTCTCTTCTTGGGCTGGATTTGACTTAGAGTCAGGAACTCACCTGCCCATTGAATCTCAGAAGACTTTTCATCTTTTCTTGTCTGCTCCTTCCCAATTTATCTTTTCTCAACCTGTTCCTAATTGGCCAAGCCAGCAAGAGGTAGGTGGAAAATGAGGTTGTATTTTTCCAGCCTCTTCCAAAGTAGCCTTGTAACCTAATTAGTAGAATGATAGAACCTGAGGGAAGAAAGAAGCCATTTAAGCCACACCTCTACTTTGGATAAATGGAGAAGCTGAGGCTCAGAGAGGGAAATGTGCTGCCTTGAGACTGCACAAGTTGGTGATAGAAGTGAGATTTACTCTCATGTTTCCTAATACTTGATTCAGACTATGAAATGGAAGGGTAACCATCATGCATGCCCCCAGTGAGCACTTAGGGCTGTTGACTTGGGGACATGGTTTCTCCCCAAAGTGGTTGTTGACTGGGCATAGTGGAAGCATATCTAGGTGCAGAGGTGATCAGAGTTTATTATCTGGCTTGGGCCAATAGAGAGATAAGGTGGTTAGTCAATTGAGAACCCTGGATGTTTCTAAGCTCCTATGAGCCCTTGGCATTGGGAGGCAGCATGCTAGAGTAGAAAGGGTCCAGACTTTGGAGGCAGATATAGCAGGGTTCCCATCTAGAGTCTGGTTTTTAGACAGGTTGACTCTCTAAGCCTTAGTTTCCTCATCTTTGAAATAGGACAAAAGAGGTGCTTAATAAATATGAGCTGCTTGGGGCCTCTAAAGTTCTAGATTGTAAGCTCTGGGTGTAGCTGTGTAGACTGGCTTTGGATGCATAACAGAAATTTTGTGGATGCAATGGATGGATGTTTGTATATGTGTGTTTTGAGGGGAGATACTGATTACTTCACAGGGAAGGACATCAGCAGCACTAGGTCCTTGTTCCTTGCTTCTATCTCCAGGTAAATTCTTTAGATTTTCTATCCATCTCACACCCCCCAATAAAAAATAAAAGAAAGAAGACTGTCTGATTCCAGTATGACTTCATTAGGGTGTGGCTCAGCTCCACTGCCTCCATCCCTCCAAACCAAACCAACTCACTGCTGTTGAGTTGGATCTGTCTCATAGTGACCCCTTGTTGGGTTTCCGAGGCTGTATCACTACAGAAGTAGATTGCTCAGTCTTCCTTCTGAGGAGTGGCAGTGGTGGGTACGCTGGGGTTGAGCCACCAGCCAGAACCATTAACATGTTAGTGTCATGGGCTGCAGAACAGATCCCATCTGTCTTTCCCTATTAAGACGCCCTTTACTGTCTACTGCTCAGCCAGGAGACTGTAACATCAGGGAGCCCCTTGACTACTAAACTGAGGTACTCATTATATTTCTACCCTTATTTCTACCCTTGCTCTGTGTAAATGGTAATGGGACTCATGACTGGGCTCTGGTCATGGTTGGAAAGAAGCATCTCAGCCCCTAGGAACTGCATACCCTCAGGGTGCATACATAGCCACAGTTCCTGCACTGTCTTCTCAAACATTCTTTTTTGGGGAATTTTAAGTGGGATTCAGTCTGAAGGGTATGGACATTACTCCAAGTTGCTGATTTTAAAGAATAATATACGGGAGCAACTCAGGGAGTTAAACCAACAATCTCTACCTATAGCCTATAATCCATCCTAAGAATTCAAGCTTCATGGATAACATTGTGAAGAATGGGAATTCCCGAACACTTAATTGTGCTCATAAAAAACCTGTACATAGACCAAGAGGCAGTCACTTGAACAGAACAAGGAGATACTGTATGTTTTAAAATTAAGAAAGGTGTGTGTCGGTGTTGCAACCTTTCACCACACTAAATCTGTATGGTGAGCAAATGAGAGTAGCTGGACTCTATGAAGAAGAATGTGGCATCAAGATTTAAGGAAGACTCATCAACAGAGGACTTGAGGCAATTACTGATGATGATCAAAGACTACAACTTTATTTATAGATTACATCTCAACATAAAGAAAACAAAAATCCTCATAACTGGACCAATAAGCAATGTCATAATCAATGGAGAAAAGAGTGATGTTGTCAATGATTCCATTTTAACTTGGGTCCACAATCAATACCTGTGGAAGCAGCAGTCAGGAAATGACACAACATATTGCCTTGAGCATATCTGCTGCAAAAGACTTCTTTAAAGTGTTCATTACTAGAGTTGAGAGGCAGGGCACAAACAGACATATGCACACCTATGTTCATTGCAGTACAATTCACTATAGCAAAGAGATGGAAACAATCTAAATGCCCATCAACAGATGAATGGATAACCAAATTATGGTATATTCACACAATGGAATGCTATGCTACATTAGAGAATAATGAAGGATATGAGAATCATCTCACAATGTGGATGAGCCTGGAGGATATTATGCTGAGTGAAATAAGTGTATCGCAGAAGGACAAATACTATATGAGCCCATTACTGTAAAAAGACAAAAGTTTGCTTAAGAAAGGGAACTCACTTTGTAGGTTACTGGGGTGGGGAGGAAAGAGGGGATTGATTTCAGGTTAGTTGGGGGCCATATGCTGACGTGGGTAAGGGGAGGGATTGTATAGAAAGAGTCTATGGCTACCATGATAACATTAGGAAAAGGAAGGACACCAAATTGTGCACATAAAATATAGATGACAGAGGCTAATGCCAACCAGTGTATCCAAAATGCTGCATTGTCATTAACACCAAACCCCAGGCTACAGATAAACACATAAACATCTGAGAAGATCAGATGTGAATCAGTGAACAGGATTATACTCTAGACCAAGGATAGATTCAGCTGAGG